AAAAAAAAAAAAAGAAAAGAAAAAAGTAATGAACAGACAAAATAAGGGGGAAGAAATACTACCTTAAGCAGAGCAATTGAAAGAAAATATTAAAAACTAAATGAAACAGTAACATGCAAGACATTAGATCAGTAGCTAACACATTAGAATTACCTGGGGAGGGACACCCCATTTACCCTTATGTCATTCTTACACATTGTATACCTACATAAAAAAATCTCATGTACCCCATAAATATATAAACCTATGTACTCACAAAATTTTTTAGAAAACAGAAAAAAAGAATCACCTGGGGGTATAGGTTTTTCAAAGCCTGTTATAAAGAAATAAAAATAATAAAAGATAATTTTTTTTGAGGCAGGGTCTCGCTCTGTTGCCCAGGCTGGAATGCAGTGGCATGATCATAGCTCACTGCAGCCTGAATATCTTGGGCTCAAGCAATCCTCCTTCCTCAGCCTCCCAAAGTGCTGGGATTACAAGTGTGGCTACCACATATGGCATTTTAAAATTTTTTGTAAAGACAAGGTCTCACTCATTACATTGTCTAGGCTGGTCTTGAACTCCTGGGCTGAAGTAATCCTCCTGCCTCAGCCTCCCAAAGTGCTAGGATTACAGGCATGAGCCACCGTGCCCAGAAAAAAATAAACTTAAAAAAAAAAAAAAAAAAAGAATTACCTGGGGAGTTTACAAACTATTGATGCTTAGGCCTCACCTCCAAAGATTCTGATTTAATCAGGGGACCAGGCAATAGAATTGTTTATAAAAAGCTTGTCAGGTGATGATCACATGCAGTCAGAGATAAGAACCATTTATCTGTATTGTCTCTAAATGAAACCTCCTCATATTTTCGAGATAAATACACTGAAACCAGAGGAGATGCAGTGACTTACAGTTGATGAGAACCCAATTTAGCTCTGTACAATTTTTTAAAGCTAATCATACTCTTTAAAAAATGATGGTTCAAAATAAATGGAGACAATTATAGGGGAAAAAAGACAGAATGCTGAAGGGAAGATAATTTGGTCTTACTGTACTTACCATATAGTCTGCAATATCCTCTGGCGCATCACCATCAACATCAAACTTGAAGGTGACCATCTTATTGTTGTGTGTCTCCAGCTGACACTCCACCATGTTATCTCCAGAGGTTGATACCTGAGTACAAACGTACAAACATTTCACTGGTTTAAGAATTAGTCACTGACTTCTCTTTGCAAATTGTGCAGGGAACATCTATACTAGTTCATTTACAATATACGTGGAAAATGGCTTAAATAGCTCAGAATCTAAAAAGATTATGTTTTCCCTTGGTGGAATACCATCTAAACAGCCATTCTATGACTAACCTAACAGGTTCAAGTTACTCAGTAAAAAATAAGTTATAAATGTGATCCTGTGATAAAGAAAACAATACAACTTTTATAAGAAGGCAAAAAAAATTATAATAGTCACTAGAGCTATCTGCAACGCAAAGATTTAAATTTAATCATTCGTTTCCAAAATTCTCTTTATCTATAAATTGACTCTAAGCAAAAGAAGAGGCACTGCAAATGGAAATGTAAACTGGCCCAATCTTTATGGACAGCAATCTAGCAACATGTATCTAGAAACTTTAAAAATCTTCATATTCTGATCCATGAATCCGACTTCTATGGATCTAAAAGGAAATAATCAGGGATAGATACAAAGATTTATGTTCAAGGATTTTGCTGCAAAGATAGACAGACAGACAGACAAAAAGAGTAGAAGACACCAAGTTAGAAAAAAGACAGACTGGGAAAAAGAAAGAACGTAAACCAAGAACATAGAGAATGATTAAATTATTTCTCTGTATAAGCAGCTATCTAATGTAGCCATTTAAAATGTCATGTTATTGAAAATTTTATGATATAGGAAAACATACATGATATATTAGGTTTTTGAAAATGCAGGATATAAAATTACATATAGGTTTAAGCAGCCAACTGAAACATACATCGTATGGTTAGAGATACGGGCTTTAAAGTCTGATCTAGGTTCAGATCTGACTCTACCACTTGCTACTTGAGTAATCTTAGCAAATTACTTCACTCCTCTGGTCTTTAGTATTCTCATTTGTAAAGATGAGTATATACTACCACTTATCATACAGGGTTACTGAAGGATTAAATGATAAAATGCATGGATTACATTTACAGTACCTACCACAAAAGAACTCAATAGATTTTTGCTGTGATTACTAGTACTATTACAAGCGTAATAATGTAAAACACTACATGTACATACAGAAAAAAGAGAGAAAAACAAACTAAAACATTAATAGGAGCTATCTCTGAATGGTGGTTACAAATGGATTTTGTTTTCTTTCTTATATTTCCTAAGTTTAAGAAGGAACACATAATACTCATACTGGGACGTCTGTAATGGAGAAAAGTTAGGTTAGAAAGGGTTTCACAATATTCTACAACTCACTTCTGCAGCATTGCCCCTCTCTGACCCTCCAAACCTCTATTATGTACTCTTAACAAAACCATATTGACAAGCTGACCTGAAGGACAGTAAGCTGAAATTTAGTTCCCTTCTCTGGTCGGGGACAGGAAGCTCTTCTCTGTTTGATCCGATCCTGTTTGCCATTTCCACTTGGGTTATCAGGGCTACTGATGTTTTCCTTCGTAGCTGTCACATCTTGATTCAAGCTAGTAATATTTTTTTAAAAAAGTAACTCATTCCAGTCTTGACAGTAAAATTCTAAGAAAAACTCCCAATTATAAAACCATCAATAATGAGTTTAAGGAAAACCAATAAATACTACAATATCTTTTTAAAAGTTATGATTGCACAATTCTGTGAATATACTAAAAGCTATTAAATTACACACTTTAAATGGGTGAATTATATGGTGTGTGAATTATATTTCAATAAAGCTTTTTTTTAAAAGCTATTATGAAAAATCAAGATCACATTGTATTTACTTAGCAAACATCTCGCAGTGATGAGAATGAAAGAAAAACATGCCAGTATTAGACTTCTGTGGAACCTTTTGTTATGGGGTGCTCTTGATCGGTTTTATCTTGTTTGTTTAGGGGTTACTTTATTAGTATCTTCAAATAAAACTTCTAAAACCAAAACGATTATCACTCAAAATATACCTGTTTATGTAATGAACTCAACAGGGTAGACCAGGTATGGGAGACAAGAATAGTGTTCTGCAGGAGGCAGAACAAGGAATGAAAATGAATGATATAAAAATAGCTCAACATGATTAATTCTAATTAGTTACATTTCACAGGCTCACATCAATATTATTATGAAAGGGCAGTTTAGTTTATCTGTGTCAAAGGCATTTTTCAGGTTTTTCTTTAAACTCAAACATATTTCAATAAATACAAAAATTTCAATAAACATGTTTGAAATTTAAATAACAAGATCTAAGTCTCAGACATCTTTTTGAAATAGATATCTTTCAAATTAATTTAAGCAAGTTATTTCTCCTAAAAATTACTCATGAAACATCTTATATATAGATATACAAGAAGAGATAAAAATCTCCTAAATTTTTTATGTCCATATGACAAAGAATTTGCATAAATATAAGTAGTGAAGAAGATACATTAATACTGCCCTTAGAGTGTTTTAAATACACAGAGAAATGGCAGTAACAAATAATCCCTTCAGAAATATAATTTTAGCCAATGGGCTATATAATTCACATTCCAAAGTTACTTAACACACCAGTTTAGTGTTTGGGACAAGATGGCAGAAACTCAACTCTCCCTGCTCCTCTCCTCTAAATACAGCTAAAAGTTATAGAAATAATGTAGTAGACAACCACAGGAGCACACAGAAGAATGAAAAGATGAAAGTGGACTGGCTAGGGGCCCCCAGGACTTGAGTAACAACATAGCAGCTTGGTATCTTCCAATTACCCACCCAGTGAATAAAGGCAGTACAGGCCCAGTGTCTCCCAATTCCCAGTCCAGAGGCAAAGGCAGCTCAAGCCCAGTGTCTCCTGATCCCCAACCCAGCAAGAGAAGAGGACTTAAGTGGGCCCTGTCCTTCCCCAGTAGAGGAGGCCTCAGGGAGCAGGCCTAGAGAAGCACTCTGTACCTCTTGGCCCCGCAGTGGCGGCCAGGGGTTCCAGGTGAACAAAACAGATCAGAATAGCAGTGCTGTAAGGACTTTGAAAACTAAATTGTCATCAGAATCACAGCCCACAAAAGTAGGCCAGAACCTATGCATCTAAACAAGGGTGACTGCCTGCTAACACAGATTTAAACAGGCCAGGTGGCTCATGCCTAATCCCAGCACTTTGGGAGGCTGAGGCAGGCAGATCACCTGAAGTCAGGAGTTTGAGACCAGCCTGGCCAACATGGCGAAACCCCATCTGTATTAAAATAAATTAGCTGGGCATGGTGGCACATGTCTGTAATTCCAGCTACTCGGGAGGCTAAGGCAGAATTGCTTGAACCTGGGAAGTGGAGATTGCAGTTAGCCAAGATTGCACCATTGCACTCCAGCCTAGGCAACAGAGTAAGACTCTGTCTCAAAAAAAAAAAAAAAAAGACTTAAATAGTATCTACAGTCACCTGACATAATATCCAAAAGCATAGGAGACAAATGAAAATAAACTCCTTTGTCATAACAAAAACTAGAAAAATTACAACTTGAATACAAAAAGGTAATCAACAGATGCCAACACCAAGATAAATCAGTTATTGAAATCATCTAACAACAATAAGATGAGGTCAGGTGCTGTGGCTCACGCCTATAATCCCAGCACTCTAGGAGGCCGAGGTGAGCAGATCATTTGAGTTCAAAAGTTTGAGACCAGCCTGGCCAACATGGTAAAACCCCGGCTCTACTAAAAATACAAAAATTAGCCAGGCATGGTGGCAGGTGCCTGTAATCCCAGCTACTCGGGAGGCTGAGGCACAAGAATTACTGGAACCAGGGAGGTAGAGGTTGCAGTGAGCTGAGATCACGCCATTGCACTGCTGCCTGGGCAACAGGGTCAGACTCCATCTCAAAAAAAAAAAAAAAAGATGAATCAGATATTAGAATTATCTAACAAGAATGTTATTTATTTATTTATTTAGACAGAGTCTCGCTTTGTTGCCCAGGCTGGAGAGCAGTGGTGTGATGTCAGCTCACTGCAACCTCTGCCCCTCAGGTTCAAGCAATCCCCAGGTCCCAGCCTCCCAAGTAGCTGGGACTACAGGCATGTGCCACCACACCAGCTAATTTTTGTATTTTTAGTAGAGACAGGTTTCGCCATGTTGACCAGGCTGGTCTCAAACTTCTGACCTCAAGTGATCCGCCTGCCTCAGCCTCCCAAAGTGCTAGGATTACAGGAGTGAGCCACTGTGCCCGGCCTTTAACAAGAATTTTAAAGCAGCCATCATCAAAATTCTTCAATGAGCAATCACAAATAATCTTGAGGCAAATGAAAAAACCAAAGTCTTATAAAAGAAATAGAAGATATTAAGAAGAACCACATAGAAAGTATAGAACTAAACAATTGCAGAAATTTAAAAAAAAAAATCTCACTGAATAGGCCTAATAGTAGAATGAGTAAATGATCAATGAACTTGAAGACAGAACAATAAAAACTATCCAATCTATATTTTTATTCAGAAAAATACTAGTTTTTACCTACTAATCAAGTCAATTATATATATGGTTGTCATTTATTTCTTTAGATTAGCTAGAATTTTACCCTAAACTCTATTGTTTGTTACTTCCTTCCTTAACCCTTACCAGCTTTTCCTAGAACAGAAAGGTATAAATAAACACAACAAGAAAATCATCAGTTAACTGCACAATCCATATGATCCCTACTGACATAAAAAAGTAAAAATAATATCGATCATTTTCATTAAACACCCACACAAGTACAAGAACACAGAAGCTTCTCTAGTCAAGATACACTAAACACTTAATGAGTACACAAACTTCAGCATATCCTTATTGTTTTCATGGTATTAATTTGAAGATACTTACCTTCTAACTAAATCTGGTTTTAGAAGAGCTGCTTGTTGTTCAACTCCAGCTGGTTGGGATACAGGCTGTAAACAGTACAGACATAAAACTTGCTATGATAACAGCAAAATTCAAGCTAAATATACAATTTGTTACTATTTCAGGAAACATGATAGTTTCGGTTACCTTGCAAACCTGGTAGAATATCTATATTTTTGAATGTCTATATCAATCCTGTTATTAACATTATTACCAAAGAAAAATAAAATTTAACAATACCTCAAGAACATCTTACACATCAAGATTTTTCATCTGAAAAAGTCAGCACTGTTATATGTACTTTTGTTTGAGTTGTTTTTCAATGGAAGACACTACTATCAAGCTTCCAGTCCTAGTTGTAAAACTACTAATTAAAGAAGAGTTACTACCATTCTACAAGAAGATAAATCAATGACTCAAACTTTAACTTATCGTGTAGTCTGTCTGTCTCTCATCTCCTTTCACTAGACTATTTCAACTATCCCTTCAAGGAATTAGTATTCAGCAGCTGTAACATTGGCTTCTAGGAGAAAAGTTTTTAAGCTCTTAATAGGACAAATACCAACTCCACTGGAAACTAATTTTACATTTACCTAATCCATCCTCTATGCACTGCCACTGGTGATAGCAGAGTGATCTTAGAATGCAAATCTAACAAAACTGATCATTTCTTTACCCAGTTTAAACCCCACATGATGGCTCCTCATCTTCTATAAGATTAAGGTCCTTCAGATGGTAAATAATGAACTGGTCTGCACCTGCTTATCTAGCCTCATCTCTTTGCTTGAAGCCACACTAAACTGTAGCTCCTCTGTATAAGTTAGGCTCTTCTACATACCGTGGCTCTACTTATATTCCTCCACTTCCCTGAACTATTTCAAACTATTTCATCCTAATCAACCCATACTGAGAAATGTTTTCCTGGACTAGCTTCTAATTATAGATAAGATAATCAGCTCTTTAACATAATCACTGTTTAAAACTTGAGAGCAAATACTACAGCAAACAGATTTTTGGACACTTAACATTCAACAAAATGTATCTAATTTAACAAATTTGTGTATAGTCCCAGTAAGCTGAAGCAGTAACATGGCATCCTGATGCATAAATCCAGAGACAAGTGTATGTACTAAGCAAAGGGAAACAAAACATAGTTACTATACAATATGGAATTATATTTTATAATCACTTGCAATTATTAATGAGGTTATTAATGCTACTTTGTGCTGGTGCTCAGAATCATGGCTAATGTTTGGTTTATCTGCCTTCATTTCTGACAGCTATAAGTTAAGCTCTGTCATAATATTTCTAGGGGTTTCAAAATTAGTATTTACAAAGAGCTGCTGGGTCATTTTTGCAGATGTCTTTCAAATTTAATGAAATGTTTCATTTTTACTTTTGTTTGTTTTTTGGTTTGAGTTGGAGTCTCGCTCTGCCACCCAGGCGGGAGTGCAGTGGTGTGATCTCAGCTCACTGTAACTTCCGTCTCCTGTGTTCAAGCAATTCTGCCTGAGCCCCCGAGTAGCTGGGACTACAGGCGTGTGCCACCACACCAAACTTTTTTTTTTTTTTTTTTGTATTTTTAGTCGAAATGGGGTTTCATCATGTTGGCCAGGCTGGTCTCAAACTCCTGACCTCAAGTGATTTACCTGCCTTGACCTCACAGAATGTTGGGATTATAGGCGTGAGCCACCATGCCTGGCCCATTTTTACTTTTGCCTAAAACTACAGTCAGCCCTTTGTATCTGTGCATTCTGCACCTATGGATTCAACCAACCTTGGATTAAAAATGTAATATTCTGGCTGGGCTTGGTGGCTCAAACCTGTAATCCCAGTACTTTAGGAGGCCAAGGCAAGAGTACTGCTTGAGCCCAGGAGTTTGAGGTTACAGTGACCTATGATTATACCACTGCAGTCCAGCCTGGGCAACAGAGCAAGACCCTGTCTTAAAA